GGCGTCAATTGGGCGCCCCTTTTTCTTTTTTAGGTTGCAGAAATCTGGATTTCTTTTAGTTGTAGGGCTGTTTTTGAGTTGCAGACCAAGAAACTAGCAAAGGAGATGGAGATGGAGATGAAGACAGCGGCTAGGGTTTTTTAGGCTGAGTTTGTTTTTTAATTTTTGTCTTTAAATACCCTATAAATACTCCACCCAACTCTTTATTTTCGTCATTTATTTCATTCTAAATACCTTATAAATACTCCAGCCCATTTATTTCATTTTAAATACCCTATAAATACTCCACTCAACTCTTTATTTTCGTCATTTATTTCATTCTAAATACCTTATAAATACTCCAGCCCATTTATTTCATTTTAAATACCCTATAAATACTCCACTCAACCTTTTATTTTCCTCAAATTCCCATAATTATTGCTTTATATCATTTTAAATACCCTATAACTACTTCACTCAGCCTTTATTTCCTTTTAAATTACTTATAATTGCAACATTAAGCCTTTATTTTTTGATTGAAATTTTCCTATAATTGTGACCATTCATCCTTATTTTCCTTGAAGTTCTCTGTAATTGCTTACAATAAAATAAAGAATTATAACATTTTGAGACTATATGACATAGTTTCCAAGTACAACGAGACCTAGTAATAAAGAAGATGATTTTATCTTTGATTTAGTTATAGTTATATTTGTTTTTACAAAGTATTATATTGTTATAAATATACTTACATATAATATATATTTAAATTTTAGGTTCCATGAGGCTTCGCCTCACGCCTCACGCCTCACGCCTAGGCGGGGCTTCCCCTCGGACGCCTCGCCCACGCCTCACGCTTTTAATACATTGGATGGTTCTGAAAGCTACTGTGGTGACAGATTTACGGATATTTAGTTTGAAAACTTCAGATGCCTGAATGTATCATCGGCATGATATATAGGTCCCAAACAAAAGGTAGGGTTTGGACTTTGGTCCATAAATTTGCAAAATCTATAGACCGCGGTTTTAGTTCCTTATTTTTGGTTCACAACTTCATATTAAAAATAATAAGATGATTAAGAAAATGAAGAGAAACTTTTTCTTGTCATGATGTTTGAAAATATAAGATATGTCTGTGTTTTATGTTGCTCATCATGTTGATCATTTTTAAGGGAAATTTTACGGTACCATTTCTTTAATAGTTACTTTATAATCACAAAGTTTACATGTTAAACAACATTATAACAGTGAGGTTATATAACATTAATTATTACATTACAAACATTGACTGTTACAGTATTATCTTTCACTTTTGGGCTCATTAACTTCATGTTTAATGGTGTTACAACATGACGTTAACATTAAATGTTTGTCAATTTCATTGTTAATATTATAGTTAATAATACAAAATAACCTTATTATTATAGTGACAAAGTTCATTTTCACGTATGTGTGCAAATTATTACATTACAAAAGCATTATTCGATTAAAGAATACTACTACTATTTTACTTTTTTTTTAAGAGTAGACTAATCCAAGTTTTAAATATATATTCCAAGGATACAATGGTTGTAGTATATATGGTACTAAGTGGAATACAAATTGACTGACTGGGTTGCATGGAGCCATTTGTAAAACTTCAAATGACCATGCATGGGATTGAAGCGGCACTGGCAAGCCTGCACGACCATAACAATAAATAATACCATAGATCAATGTCTTGATGAGTCATATGCATGTGAATTATTAGCTGGTGAAGATAGCAAAGCATATCATCACTCCTGCAAAAATTGCAGATACATCAACCTAATAAAAGGTTTTTTTGCACGTATATTTTGGCTGCATTTGGAAGAAAGCAGAAGCCTTCACATTGCTTCATTTCATCAAATATGTCAAACACACTTTTCACAGATTAAAGTTTCGATTTGACTTGCTCGTGTCGAAGTCCCCTGGCCACTACAATGTTGCACCACGGCAGCCATTAAAAAGATCAAAATACCCTCACATACATGCCTTAATTGGGAGAGATACTCTATTTTTACTATTTCATCTCGTGATCCGAGTTTATAATGAGACAATTAGTTTACTTTTTAAACAAGTAGTAAACATCTATTAATTGGATGATGATGCCGCCGATACTAAATCTTAATTGCAAGAAAGAATTTCTTGATCTCCCTAATTGAATGCATCATGCATGCATGTATTATCTCACCAATAGAGAAAAGGGCCGCAACTGCAGAGAAAACAAGAAACTGAGAGCATGTGGCAAGTACAATCATGTTTTGCAAGGGGGACATGACAATGTCACATATTCTAGCATGTTTAAAGTTTTGCATGTGCACTGTACTATACCGGCTAGATTAATAAGATAGAAAGGAAGAAGCTGAAGAGGGGAAAAACATTATTTGGAGGTTGGCAGTTTGACAATTTAGGAGAGCATCGCTAATTTTTCTGCTCAACAAATGATGAAAATATGCCTCCTGTTTTGACACATGAACCAAATTATCAATCATTTCTAGTTTTATTTTTCTAATTGTTTTTTTTTTTTTTTTTTTTTTTTTTTTGGTGCACTAGTGTGAAAAATAATAATTAATTGTTCATATTTTCATATAGGAAGTCACGATAATTGTATGTACATTTTTATACTTTTCACAGTAGTTTAGATATACATCAATAGTTGACAGTCATTCACACGCATATGATTATAATCAAGCATTTTTAGTCTAACTGACAGTTTCGAACCCAAGACTTATTGAATTTGAACATCACAAACCCAACAATGTACAAGGGAACCCAAGACCTATTGGCTTCGTCCCTGGTCGATGGTATCGTCATAGGGCTCAAAAACGATTTTGGTGCAGAATATTTCATCAACTCGGACGATATTCGTACAGAATTGTGAATCAAATTTTTGTGACACAACAGCGACCTAAAATCTCTGCAGATTTATGCGTGGTCAGTGATCACTTGAGGCCTCGAGGGAGAGATAGGGGAGGATTCTCAGATCTGGGTGGGGTGGCAGAAAAACTTTCACAAAATATAGCCAAGCAGGTTATATTGCAAGTAAAAGTTTCGAATATCACTTCATCATTTGGGTTAAGATATGGAGCAGGACGATGACCTAATGGTACACTTTCAAAAGCTGCATGCAGGCATTAATTGACACTGACACTTTGGATATATAGGCCACACGAAGGCTTAAACATTGGTTGCTGGCGTTTAGGTGAGATAAGGTTTGAGAGATGTCAATGTGTATGTGTGAGATGATAGCGAAATCGATTCTACTGGCTAGAAACCAACCAGGAACAAGAGAGCATGAGGGCTTGCTTGGCTTATTTTATAATATTGTCTTAGTTCCATTTCGACTAGATTCTTCTTGATGAATTAGGAATTAGGACCTCGGGGTAAGAGTAAATACTTCTAACTAATTGAGCCGACACAAATTCGCCCATTGGATATTATTATGTGGGTATGACTATAGTTTAGTGGTTCTCTTCCAAGATTAGTGAAAAGAAATCATTTTGTCACCAATCTATGCAGTGTATATAAATTAATATTATACTTTAGAAGATAAGTTTGTTGTCTATCGTATTATGATATGTAAATTAATAACACCACGTGACAGTGTTACGTCACATACAAAAAGTTATTGTTGAGACACGTAACAACCATTTGTATACAATTCAACCATTGAATACTAAGTTTCCAAAACATTACTAGAGAAGTTTTCCTAGAATTACACTCCGGTGAGGAGATTCAAGAGAAATATATGAATCATATTTTTATGTTCCGTTAGTGTCAATTTATCAAGGCAAGGACACTTAATATTCCTAGACAATTTTTACACACGACTTTTGAAATGCATAATCACCTTGAATGGTTGAAGCGTGGGCCGGTATGGAAGTGATTTTAAAATGACTGAAAGTGTTTTTGATGGAAGTGTTTTGGGTTTCAAAATCACTTGAAGTGCATTTTGAAAGAAGCAACAGTTGTGTGCTTTTTGTAGGAAGCACTTTAAGTGTTTTTCCAAAATTCCCTTGTATTTTTACTAAGATTTAATTCCAAAAATATTATCATCTAAAATGTTTTCGATTATTTTAAAAGCATTTCCACACACACCCTTGATCTATTAATCTAGTGCGCTTTAATTAGTTTGACACATTCACTAACGTCAAAGGTGGAAAGTAGTAGTCGTTAGGGATGGTAGTTGTGGACCTCTGTACAGGCCTGTAGGTTTTAGGGCTTTTCTTTTCTTCGGACTCTTGAGTCCATTCCTGAAGAGCCCATTCCACGAACCAAAGGAGCCGGATTGCAATTATACAATTTTGAAAGAGAATAATAGAAAGACTAAATTTGTAGGCTAAATTTTGTAAACTAAATGATATGGAAGTTGATGATTGGATTATTACTTAAACATTAATAAGCGTGCTCATATCTTATTGGTGACAACAAAATTACTGATTTAGCAATACTTATATGTATTTAATACAATCACCATCTCGATGTTAAATGATGATGATATTAAATACATATAAATATTATAGTCAGTCCCCAAAACTGCATCAGAATTTCAGCAAAATCGTTGATTAGTTATGGTTTGGAGGGTACAACACAAAAAGATTTGATTGATTAGTCTTCGTAAGAGCATCTCCAATGAGTTTCCTAATATTTTAAATAAAAATTTAAAACCTATTGTTCACAGTTATAATGACTCTCTAAATTAAATTTTAATCTTTTAAGTTAAATTTTAATTTAGAAATAGAAAGCGTGATTGGAAGTGCTCTAAAGGTAACCCTATCCCGATAAGGACATAATTTTGTAAATCACTACAAATCACCATACAAAAGCCCATGAAATCTTGTGAATTTCTTGAGGATCATATATTAGTTATCGTAATATATCGTGTAGATTTTGCTAATTGCATACAAGGATTAGTAGAAAGTTACAAGCTTATTATTTAATTACATGGACGCCACATTGATCGCGTCGATTAACAAATATCATATGGACAAAATATGAACTTTCACAAAAGCAAATGCTCACTTCTTTGAAACAAATACAGGTCACAGGCAAGTATTTTCCTGTTACTAATATCATATTTCACAATCAACAACAACAATAACAAAGCCTTTTCTTCCTAAGTAGGATCGGCTATATGAATCCTCATTCAGGATTCATTATCATAAGGATTCGACGTAACCTAGGAGTGCCGGCTGTCGACTACCTGGTGCCCTTCCCTCCTCCTTTATCCGGGCTTGACTATCAGAGAAAAATATTTACCAGTAGTGTAAAAAAATGAGAAACACTAACTCCCCACTATATTACAGACTCAACTGAACCAAACCCTTCAAGACATCATTTATGCAACTCAAAACATGAAATGTGGGATCCCAGACATGGTCAAATTATCTGATACAAAATATTGTGGATCATGATCGTCGATCATGTTGATTCCGAAGATGATGGAATCATTTAAAGGTTCCGAGACCAACAGCAGCCTCTCCACCGTACGGCTGGAAGCTTTCCCTGGCTCTGGAATAGCAAACATAGTAGAACTCAGAAACTATTGTGGAGAGGAAAATGAAAGCTGCTCCTGCACCGAAAACTCCCTTTCTCAGTTGCTGGCAATCTGGAGGGCTTTGGCCGAAAATGGTCCTGTACTTGGTGTGGTAGGCATTCCTCACTGAACCCGCCAGCAAACATGCCTCCGCAATTAAGAAAAAGACCCTGGTAAGAGTACCATCAATAAAATGTGTAAGTAATTCATATCCATATGACAATCCATTGCAAGATGTGAACCTTAAATTCTGGCGTGGAACTTCAAATCTAAACGTAGTCTGCATTTATAAGAACAAATGTATTGATCTAATTAAATCGATAAATTATACTCAATCCACCAGGCAACATTTTTTTCAGCATGTTATAAATCTTACCAGCAGACTATGAAAAGGATAACTGCCCAGGCTCTTGACCCTCCAGGTTTCAATGGCTTCCCGCAGCAGAAGCATCGGCTTGCCACCATTATAATGACCTGACCTACCAAGAAGAACAAAAATGCACCAACCCCGTAGCCAGTTGCAATGTCTGACTCATAGACACAATAGTTGTAATTTAACTCAGTATTCTGAACGACATTCGCCTGTCATGAACGACAAATAGATTGTCAGCAAGGACTGCCTCTTATATATCAGCTGGAAGCCGAATGTACTACTATCTTTTAGGCTATTACATTGAGGATGAATAAACTGGTTTGCATGATTATGACAATGCAAAACCGGTTTATTTTAAGGCCTCTGTTCGATTTCTCAATGGGTTAAGTAAAATGCGATTGCCCAGTGGGAAGCTATAACAATAGCCAACAAGCACCGACTTTTTAGACAAGTAAAATTATTGTATTACTATATAGTATATAGCAAGATGCAATTGCTGTCATATAATCGGCACTGTCAAGGGGCCCAACCTTCAGCAAAACTCCTTAGAATGAAGGATTAGTAAAATATTATTTGGCTCATTTCGAGATTTCATTCGTTCAATATATGGTGAGGAGGGAAAAGCTCTGTGGATTCTTCCTTCCTATGCTGATTGAGATACGAGACCAAATCAACAACAATTATAAGAAGGAAGTTTTTGGATACTAAATTAATCCCAACTCTTTTTTTTTTTAATTTTGTGATACAAGCGATACTGGGGAGGGGGAAATTGAACTCGGGGCATCGGGTGCTAGGGTGAATGGTCTTAAGACTCTTAAGTCTTAACCAACTGATCTACAACCCCCCCTACAAATAATCACAACTCTTATGCTCAACCAACAGTTCTGAACACTCTTATTTGGCTCGAAAATCTCCCAAAACAAGCTTTTGGTTCAAGAACACCATCTTATTCTTGAAATCAATTTATTGTACGATTCAATTACATTTGCCTGCATATGTTTCAGCGATCAATACAATTTGCTCCAACAAATTCTCCAAGAAAATCACATGCATGCATGAACAGAAACAACACATACAAGAAAGAAAACAAGCAATATCAGTAGATCTGACCATGCTATGAAGTAAATTATTTGTATCAGCAAGAACACAATTCTCTTGGCTCTCACGTTTCTGATTGAACCCATGTATTTTTTGGCCTCATTGATCAGAATAACAAAATTAAAAGTACTAGGCCCATCAAATGCCAAATGGGTTGCTTTTATTTTCTTCAATCCGAAGTAATTGACACAGACTGCATCTAGTTTCCTACATTTTCTTGCATTTTCTCAGCATCCAAACATAATATATCACCAAAGAACACATAATTGCACAAACCCAGAAAAACATTTCCAGTAAAAACCAACATTATGGCTTAAAAAAAAGGGAAAGACAGAACTTACAGAGCTTCTCCTCTGCTCAGCTGCAACAGCGAGCCCAAAAGCAATGACATTCAGGATGAAAACTGTAATCAGCAACAGCTTGGATGCCATGGATTCAAGAACTCACTCACTCCCCAGATCTCTCTCTCCTCTCTCTCTCTAGTCTGCAATTTGTCTATCTGTTTCTCCCTCTAAATACAAAATCCAACCGTGAAGTGTATTGAATAAGTGAAGAAGCCTTAGAAAAAGAAGGAAAAAAATAAAATAGTGAATGGATATATTACCAACAGAATGCAACATGCCACCAGTTGAACGTCATATGAAAATGGGTTATCACCTGCAACAGGAAATTACCAAAATAGCCACCACTGTTGGTTAAGAATATTGGAATTGGAACTTCGTTGAAAAAAAAACTGGAGCAAAATTTGGATAATTGTAGAAATTTTCTGGGTGGCATTCCCACTTCGCAAAACCACAAGTTTGCTTAGTTGGTAAAAGTAGTCAACATTTACTCTTATGCATTTTATTTTGTGTCTTTTATGTTTGGGGAGAGGCAGAGCCAGATTTAGGATTTCAGATGCAAAAGTAAATGCTTTTGATCACTTAAGTTGTAAATCTTTTACTGTAACATAATTTGTGTTTGAAATCTAAGAAATGTAATACATTTTGTGTTAAAAAACTAAGAAATGTTGGAGTACGCTGTGCGATAATATTTTTTTTCTGCTCAAGAATAAATTAAGATGCGAACATCAAAATAGTGAAGAATATAGACAAAGTGAAATTATGTTGTTTGAGTTCATAGTGAATATGTTATTGAAATATGGTTAGTGTGGTTTACGAGAAAGACGAATCCAATGTTCACTTTTAACTATCAACTAGTTATTAATCTAGTGATACTTTTCTTTTCAATGTTGAAAGAGGTTATAAGTTCGAATCCTCCATCCCTTAATAATAAAAAAAGGGTCCAATTCTTATTATTTGTTAGAAAATAATGATTTTAGGTTGAAATTCTACAATTCATTCTCGCTCTATGAATTTTATGAAGTTTTCATCAATTACAAAAGTGAAGAGCTAACGTTATCGGCAGAATGTCAATAATTCTCATATTTTTATTCTAAAACAATTGGATAGGTGAAATAAGTGAAAACAAGACTATCATTTGAATCGAAATAACAACGAATATGTTAAAAATTCGAATTGCTCATGCAAGTTGGACATCCCAAGTATTCAGTTTTTATATTTAACATATTTTTCATAATTATATTTAGCCCTTTTATTGTTGGAGGGGTAATTTTGGCATACGGAGGATTTTAAGGATCCATACGACACCAGAAAGCTTTCAAATGATTAATTATATATTCAATATTGTCGGTGAGGAGTTGTGTGTCGTTGTTGTTGTGTGTGAGAGAGAGAGAGAGAGAGAGAGAGAGAGAGAATCAACGGATGCTTCTTAAGGGTAAAGTGCAGCAGGCTTTTTCATCAACAAGATAGATCTGATCAGATCAGATCCAACGGCTGATTTTGCGGTATTTTTGGGACGCTTGAAACACACGAAAGAAAGAAGATTAGAACCTTTGCTTTCAGTCAGTGTTGGATGGTCTTTCACTCTCCTTCTGTGGATTTTATACCATGCACTACACCCCGTGCTTTATTCAGTGTGTCCTCGCCTTATCTGCCCCGTGAACTAGAAACGAACATGGTGATATTTGCCCGTTAACTAATCGGACCGAATTTATGGCCTAAGATTACCAAAACGACGCTAGTTTATGAGTTTAATTCAATAAAATCCATTGTTCGAAAGAAAATATATTTTTATGAGCATTGACGGAGTCAAAATTTTTCTTTTGAGGGGCTTATAATCTGTGACGGAACTAGAAAATCCTTGGGTAGATGAGGTATACAAGTTTAGTAGTATAAAAATTTGTTGGTGGACATGTCTTAGCGATGGTTGGGATGGAGGGATTGAAATAGGAAGTTGGGATGTAAAATTTGAGTGAAGTGAATTGAGTAAGTGAAATACATTTTCTCCTTGCTCTCGCGCATGCCACTACTGCCCAGTGCCCATCACAGCCTGGTGTGACGCTCATTGCCTTGTGGGTGTGCAACATTTTGATGTGATGGAGGGGATTTTTGAGGTCTAGGTCATCCCATGGTTAAAAAAGCCTCATAATATTGTTTCCCACATCCCCGACTAAAATATACATATAAAAACATAATGAGGGTAAATGAAATCATTATGAACAAAACTTGACGACATGAGTAAATTTCATTAGCATGTAACAGATATATACACCTACTTAGGCGATCAAGTTGAAGCACATATATGTCTCACATTACATGTGGTTTAATATCCTAGCAGATAGAGGTGTTGGTTTTTCACCTATGTGTTTCAGGTTCAAAACTCTCTTCTCTCCAATTGTAATATTTTCGAAGTCTCTCTCCCCTTAATAATAACAAAATTAAAATATATATGTATATATGTGTCTAATAGTAATTAAATTAAAAAACTATATATATATGTAAGTCTCACATTGAAAATCTCATGAAGTTAAATTCTCTTTATATTGAATGATTTCATTACTAATTATATAATAAACAGTTTACATACGTGGGACGTTCACTCCCATTATTACTAAGATTTTTTATGATGAAACCCCACACCTTTTAATTGGTGGTTAAGTTTGAGTTAAAGTTGTTGAAACAAAACTCATAAGCATAGAACATTTGTGTGTTGGGGACGATCGTTCTCTTTTGTCAAAGATAAATCGAGCAAAAGATTTTATTGTGCGACAAGATGGTAGTGGAGGAAGCATAATTTGACCATGCTTATATGCCCATGGTTCCTCAACCTGTTAATATTTTCCCTGGAAGCTTGAAGCATTCCAACAGAGAAATTGCCGCTTCATATGTGACACAAATATACAAGCTGTTGTTACATGAAATTGCTTTCCAAGTTATTGGATAATGAAATGATTAAATAAAATATATGAGTATTGTAGTTCATTGGAGCGTTTTCCCGTCAAACCCTAAATCATTCCCAACTTTGAGTAGTTATAGCGAATAAACTCCACAAACTCGTATGACTAATGTTCAAGACTTTTTTTTTTTTTTTTTTGGTTTTTTTAAGAAAAAAAAATGTTCAAGACTATTTAGATTTGATTGAAATGATGACTTTAACTCTTCTTTTAATGGAAGAATAATGGGAATCACTACTTTTATTTAATGTTTAAATTATTTACGAAATTGACGATATTTTTGTTGAAATATCAAAAAAATTAAGGATGAATATGGAAACGAGGTGAAATGCAAACTTCACACCATATCGATGAGATTTGGAAAAATCAATGAATATCGACAATGTTCATCAATTCACAATAGAAATATTGTTGAAACCAATTACATATTTCAATCTTTTCAACTCTTTATCAGAAATTTTTCTTTAATTTTGACTAAAATCTGAATGAGTTGATATTCTCCTCCCATTGTAAATTTTCATAATTCGTCGAAGACCAACCGATATTGATATTGATTTATACATCTAATATTTCCACCTATATCAATGTTTTAAACACTGCTTGTGTTTAATTAACAAGCTCTTTCACCGTTCAAAGAGCGGGGTCACCACAGAGGCCACAAAAATAGTTAATCATTAATTTAAAGGATATAGGGTGGTACAAAAGTGGCTTCACTAGAGTTAAAAGTATGAGAGACAAAAAGGGTTATATAACAATATAAACAAGCTTTGACCCCAAAAAAAAAAAACCAATATAAACAAGCATGTAGAATCTTATACTGCAAACTCGCTCGTTTTCAAGAACCAAATACTTCATCCGGGTTCAAACCCCCTCATCCCCTTAGCATAAATTATTATAAATATCGTTTGTATTAAAAGAAACACAAATCCACCGTTAATAAATTAAGCAACTTTTGTGCACCTTATCCTCTTGTACAACTTACTATCATTTAGGGAATCGCTGCTTTTCACTATTTTTGGAACCTGTCTATTTGCCAATTACGTTGTACGCATACCATACACAAATCGTAATAGCTTCTATAGAAAATGAGAAATAAAAAGAAAGAAATAAAAGTGAACTTAAATACAAGGACTAATCAGACGGCTAGTATAACATATTCTTACGATATTTTATGAACAAATCTTATGTAATATATACCTAAATGCATGCACCAATTCATTTCCTAAGAAAACTATCGAATCATGTGGTAAAAAATTCTCAAAAGATTACAACTTTCTGGCTGACGATGTTCGTAAATGATTTTTGTATAACCAAGGAGATATTTCTGAAATGGCATAAAAATCTTGGAGAATAAAACTGAATTAATTTTATACCCCTTTAGTTATAAGATCACCTTCCTAATACAAAAGATGGTTTACTTTTTACTTAAGAAAAATAGTATCTGCTAATAAGTTGAGATATAATTACTGCCCTAATGAGTACCAAAGGCCAAAACTTTCCTCTCCCATCACATTGCCAAAGCCAAAATAGTCTCTAAATTTTTTCATTTTCTTCTTCTTCTTTGGATAACAAATTTTAGTGCAGAAGTGAGAAAGCCATTTTGTAGAAGGACAAAGCAAAATCAAGAAAATAATGTGGTATGGTGCACTCCGAGCTGCAATTATATGGACCAAGGCTTCAAGATGGAGAAAAGTGTCCAAATGGTAAAACAATCTTTCTTGACCCTTTAAGTTTTATTATTATTGTTTTGTTTGTTTGTTACAAACGATATTTTACACTAATTTCTATAAACTACTGAGAGGAAATTCGCACTTGGGTGCGGAAGGAGCACATCGTTGTAGCCAACTTGGTTAAGCCTAAGTACTGCAATCTTTACGTTTTATATACCGATCATCAATAAGGTGTAAATGATTATTATTTGTTTTACAATGATGTAAATGCTTATAGTTATTTTCTTCGAAATCGGGTTACTGCATATTATTGGTCGAGACTTTGTTAATCTTAAACATGCTGCCCTGCTCAGATACGATTTTACACGTATTTTAAAGTATTGTGCCACATTGACCTTGATATGCACAGGGTTATCAAATTTTGGTCACACAACTAAGAACATCTCTCTAATGGTATTACTGTCAAATGTTAGAAGAGATGTCACGTTCGATTTCTAGTCTCCTATTGTTTAAAAATAAAAGATTTACATCAAACTCAAATATGGCTGTGCCGAGGTGACTAATGGTGCATGCTTGTATTGCAGCAAGAGCCTGGTTAAGCAAGTGCAGAAGCATTTAACCATCCAAAAGAATAGGAGAGATGCTATTGTGAGGCAGGCACGTGTTGACATCTCTCTGCTTCTCCGAAATGGACAGCTAGAGCAAGCTTTACCTAGGGTAATTTAATCTCTTGCTAATCAAGGACTGCACTACCTAATTGTGTTTTTTTTTTTCCCATCGTTTACCCATGTTTTCTTTTAAAAGAAATCAATTTTGGCCACTTGGGTTTTGACCCGACTCTTGTGGTATGAGAGAGATACTTTGGTACAACGGGAGATATATTTCTTATAACTTTCTCTCTTATCACATGATATATGTACAAAGTAATGCACTTCTAGTTACTGATAGACTTTTTTGTTGTTGTATGATACATCGTGGATCTTGAGACTCATCTGAAATTGCTTCTGTAAGAAGCACTTACGGTAATAAGTTTGACACGTATTTCTTAAAAAAAATACTTCTACTGTTCGGACACCTTTAAATTTTCTTTTTTCTTTTTTTTTTTGCCAAACGCAATAAGAAGTGCTTTTACCACCCCTTAGTTTTAACAACCACCCAAAAGGCGTTAATTTGGTTTCAAGTCTCTTTAAAGGACAACTTTTGACCACCCCTTTTGTTCTTATGTCCAGGTTGAGAAACTCCACAAGGACCAGTGCTTATTGGCTGCATATGATCAAATTGCCCATTTCTGCAGTTGCATTACTACCAGTATTGTCCATGTGTACAATAACAGGTAAGTATCAAGGGATTTGTAACTCAGTTTGTTAAAAGCAATAAATTCCCTTCCCCGATAAAGCTTATACAAAATAAAATTTAACAAACCAATAAATTCTGCAGGGCAGTGCAGGACTTGCCTGGTGCTATTGGAGAAGCAGTTGCAAGTTTAATATTTGCTGCCTCAAGATGTGGTGAACTGCCAGAGCTACGTCTGTTGCGTGGCCTGTTCAAAGAGCAATACGGATGGGAACTCGACGTTATCAGTGTCGAATTACGTCCTGGGAATCTTGTGAATTCTCAGTTGAAGGAGAAACTATGCATAACTCTGATTCCGGATGATGTGAAACAATATTTAATAGGTGATATAATGAAGAACAGCAATGTCCAGCTGGCTCTTCAGGATAGCCAAGGCACAACACGCCAGGTGCGCACAAATGTTATTTGTATCACATTTACTGACTACTTTATCGACGACATTGTTAATAGAACCTCACATCGGAAGTTTATAACCTTGCACAATAACGTTTAGTCCTACTTGTGGTTTGAACCTAATATATTTGAAATGTCAATTTGACGAACTTCCTAAAAGTGCTTTTCCTGATGGCACAGAACTATAGCTTTGCAGACAGAGATTTCAAGGATGAGCAGAAAGCTGATGGGATTCAAATACAAATTCCGAAATCGGAAACAGAGAAGAGTTCTGGGATACGTTGTTCGCTGTCGAACGGTAAGCTTTCACTGGCCACGCTATCCCATTTTCAGAATGGCTCAAACACAACTGCTGGTTCAGTTGGCTTAAACAAAATCAAGAAAAATGATATCAACTTACGGGACGGAAATGCAAACCCTAGGACACATGCCATGACTACTACACCAAGAAAAAGTACAAATGGGGATGCTGTGAACAAAGATCGCTGCAAGATGTTGGTGAAGAGTCGCCATTCTTTCGCTGGTCCGGTTGATGGACATAAAATGGCGCAGGGAACGTCTCCTTGCTCCAGCCATGTCCACCCCAAGCTTCCGGAATATGATGATCTAGTAGCCAAACTTAAGTGTCTCAAGGCAGAGTATAGGCATCGTAAAAACTTTTCAGTTTTCTGATTATCTTGAGAAGGATGCAGCAATGGGGTTAATCTGATGATTTCGTTTACGGTGAATGATGCTTGCATAGTACTTTATGAACGTATTGTTACCGAATTGAGTATATTTTTACTTAAACTCTTAGGATTCCAACAACTCATTCTTCTATGCACATTTTACTTGTACAGACAGGAGAATTCTAATTGGTTTATTTCAGAACTGTCAAGGCCTCCACGACAAATCTAACCGAAAACAGTTCGACCATGTCTATGATGTTGAATCATGTAACGACAGATACATCTTACGAATTCTTATTCCAAGACCAATCGAATGGCTAATCTAAACTAGTAGATCGGCAAATTGAGCCTGTGTGGATCAGTGACATCACAAACATTATATACTTGCTGATTAACAAAGGTGCAAAGATGTCTGTTCTTACACAAACAGATTTGATATAAGAGAATATTACAAGAGATGCAGAAAATAGCTCGTATTGTCTATCAATTCAAATGCACAAGCTATATCAAATAAACAGATGGCTATCTTTCTATCTTCCTAGGATATACAAAAAAAAATACATAACTTACAGTGCTCTCCTTGTGTGGCAGCAACACCCGGAAGCCTTATTGGATACGAGAGCGGTGAGGCTATTGCATTTGACAGCCATAAAGAATGCATCAGCTGCATTATCAAGCAATTCAATTGGTCGGTCCATCCCTTTTGGACACGAACAACCCAAAAAACCAATGGAAAAGTATTATGACATGCTGCAAACAAAAGCTACGAGCAATGAATTATCTTAGTTCCACAAATATCAATTGACAGGAGTGTTTCGGCTCTTCCGCCCAAACAATAGAAGCTTCTTAAACCCTTTGGCAGCTTTAGGAGAGTTCTCATCACTGTTCCACTTCTTCCTGGAGTGGAGTTCCGTGAGTGTTTCATCACTTGGTGGAGTAGAGATTTCTATCTCAGAGATCTCAGAAATCGGTAAATTCTTAGTTTTTGCACCAGTTTCTTCATTGTTCACAGCTGAAACAATCAAAGCTTTCTTAGGTGATCCCAGAATAGGAGGAGATACAATCATTTCCGGGATATAATTTCTCTTGTCTTCACTTAGAACTGGAAATTCTTTAGGCAACTCTTCGACATCACCTGTAAACTGATTCAGTTTTTGAGCGTTCTCTTCAAAAGGTACAGATGAAACCAAATTGGGAGAATACCCGTTGCAGCTACCGTTCTCCAAGGCCTCTCTTTGTGACATCAAATTTCCCTCATTCTTTTCAACAGAAGATGTACCATGGATTTCTTTTTTCTCTTCCAAATGATTGATGGAACGGGTGGGTTGAGTTACAACCGCAGCTGCTGACTTAACCGGCAGTGCTTCTTTGGATTCTATGCAAACCTTTTCCTGGACATTAGAGTCAGATGAAATCAATTGATTTGATTTCTTCAGGTCCTCTTTTGCACCCAAAGGTTTGGCTTTGTTTGGAGCGGGTTTCTTATTCACTGCAGCAGCTGCCTTCTGTGATGAGGCACTTGCAACCACACCATTTGCCTTGATGTTCTGTGTTTTGGGTTGGCCAGCACTTGGCAAAGTTGGAGTTAACTTTTCAGTTACTCGTGTGGTTGCAAGGCGTTCAATGGTGGAATTCCGCATGACAGGCTTATCTGATTTCTTAGTCTCATTCTTCGAGTTAGTCATGGAGATTTTGGCAGTTTTATTGTCCATTGGGGCCTTCTTAGATATTGCTGTATTAGAACCACTCCTTTCAGCAATTCTCTTCTGGCGTTGAATCAGTAACTCCTCCATTCTCTTTCTCCGCTCTTTTTCCTAATAAATATTGGAAAAGAAAGTCAATGAACCAGCAAAAAGGAAACGGAAGGGAGAGGGAGAGTGTTAGTAGCAATGAACAAAAAGCAAGTCTCAAGACATCTAAGCCATTTGATTTGGGAAACACATAACACACATAACAGAAAGTTCAACTGCATAATGAAGCCACCAAATAATAAGTTTCTAATAAATTGACGGGAAAAGGGGCGAAAAATCTTTTAAAGAAATAGTAAATATCAGATACAGTCAGTGATATGAGTACAAACTCTTTAAAACTATCTTAGAAAACCTTATAAAGGGAGTTTCTTTCAGTACATACCATTTCAGATTTGCTCTTGTGGGCTGTGCTTTTGCTTACAGGAGCAGGTTTCTTGCTTCTTGACATGACATCAGACTTGCTTTTCGCCAAAGATCCATTTACAACTTTAGACCTGGCTTTTTGTCCAGGAATTCCACTATTTTTATCATTCCTTCCCTTACTATCAGAAGGCTGCTTAACTTCATCGGAATCACTTGCTTCAGTGCCAGGATTCTTCGTAGTAGCTTCAAATGATGAAGCAATAGTTTCATAATCCATTTCAGGAGTCCATGGTGCCACAGCATGCTCCATAGCTGATCCACGGTCAAGCATCATGTAAAGGTCATCTGGTTCATGAACACTATATGCTTCAGGTTTATCATTTGAAGTTTCTTGCATGCCATATTCATCTTGAGTAGCTCCATTGATCTCTGGGACGAAGCTTATATCTGTCCTGAACTGAGAATCAGATTGATCAACTAGTGATCGGTCTTGAACCATGAAAGAGTCATCCCCTAGAACATCTCTCTTATTTCTCTCCGCATGAATTGCATCAACACCATCAAACAATTTCAGATCATTATTGACATCCCTATTTGCTGATATATCTGTTTGGTTGTTCATGAACCAATCCCCTTCTTTAGAACATTTGGTTATGTACGATTCATTGACACAATCAGATAAAGTATCATGGGATTTGTTCCCAGATTCTTCAGTTCTCCGTGAAAATAATACGTCCTCATATGTGCTATCTTCTTTCTTGGTAATCCGGCCAACATTCTTATCACCTTCGAAGTATTGGACACGTGGTTTACTCTCATTAATTGAATCCCTCTCTGTCACCACAAAAAATTCAGTTGAATCTGCTCGTTGCTTAGTCACTTTTCCTTTGCCAGAGTTCTTACTTGAAAAATATTCCTCCTCAATCTGTACATTGTGTGGTTCTATAGCAAACGAACTTTCATCCTTGTCCCTCATGAGAAGGTCTTGGAAAGCATTCCAGTTTTCATTTTGTTTTTCTCCCTCATAAGTACTTGCAACACCAGTATTTGAATCATCCACAGCACCACGGAACTTGCCTCCACCTTGTTTTTTATGACGATGTGAGGTTGATTTATGTTTCTTCTCAAAAGACCCAACAGCTTCCTCTACCTGCTGTTTAATGGATTTGCCATCAACAAATCCATCCTCGTCGGATGAATTTCCCTCAGACGTACTTCCTGTTTCTCCATCCCTCTTAGAGGTTATGTAATTGATATTTCGGATAACCACCTTTCTCGAGGACTTTCTCCCATGCCTTTGCTTATGCATCTGATCATCAGATTCACTCTCATAACTGGAGCCAGTGTTGTCACCGGATCCATCTTGGTCTGAAGTTTCTAGTACTTTTTCATGAGAATGTTTCTTTTTATTCCTATGAGATTTACGATTCCTCCGTCCATCAGATTCCTGATCAAAAATAGGGCCAGATTCTTCCCCATTCGGAGGCCATTTCATATTCCCTGGATAATATGGCGGAACCTGCATACCAGGAAAAAGGTAACCTTGATACGGGTGCACTTGTGGATACACAGGACCTTGGAAATTGTGCATGTACTGAGGAGGCTGGTTTGGCCATGGGTTTGGTACTTGTGGCTTCCCATCCATTGATGACATCTTAACCGATGTTGGCAAGCTATTATCTGCACACGAGAAGAAGACGTTGGAGATGGAAGCTGAGTTTCTTTCCTTTTATTAATATTATTGACTTCTCTCTAAGATTGTTCAGATGTGAAATGAAAAACGAGATGATCATCGAAAATATCTGTAGATTGTGATTCTTAAACCATGTCATGGATGAGTTATCTAATATAAAGTTGCAACAGAAGTTTTTGGGCAGAGTAGATCACAGCCAAATTATAGGCAGAAACGGGAAAGACTCATGGGTGTTTAACCATACCTTGGTTCGCGTCCAGACTTCCATGACTTGTTGACTCCGACACTGATGTGTCTAATGAGCTATTCTTCCCAACAGAGAGAATACTTTGGTTAACATTTATCATGAGATTCTGATGGGGGTCATTATCTTCTCCGGCAAGAATTATTCCTGATGTTCCCAAGTACGGCAGTTGTGGCTGAGCGAGTGCCTGCATTGCTGCTATTTCTTCCATCCAAAGCCTATCTTCGTTCTTTTGCTTGTATAGATTTATGAAATTAATGCACGCCTCCCTGAAAATAAAACGCCGAACCTCCAAATGAGAGAAATGAAGAAAAACAGTTTCGAGAAAAGAAAAATAGAATTGGATCGCATTAATTTTGGAATAAGGATAAAACCCTTCAAAAAACTTGTGGAAATCGGTAACAGGTGAGTCAAGTCAACATTTCATACCTTAAACGTGTAGCTCCAAAAGTATCAGCAAAAGATATAAGATCGTCTATGTAGTCCAGTTCAAATCCAGCAACTAAAGCACGAGCATAAGCCATCGCTTGCTCTTTGCATAGTACTACCTTCCGGGTTTCCAAAACACGTTGAAGACGAATCCTGTTCAACACCAAAAGCTGAATAATCAATGCATGAAAATGCAATTTGTTCTAACCAAGCAGTATAATAATCACACATGAACTTTTGAAAATCCAGATTACTTACTTGGAATTTTCTTCTGGCATAGCATCAAGGGCTCCATTGGATTCACTGTTTGACTAAAACACCATCACAACACAACAAAACGGTTCATTATAATTGCAAGAGCTTCAAAAGGAAACAAATCGGTACTTTTACACATATACAATTGCCGAATGATGCATACCTTGATTGCAGTTGACTTATTTTGATTCCCATCTGCGGTCGACATTTGAGAAACCAAAAGTTAGAAGGCAAATTTTCTCAACTGTAGCCGTTAAATTGACAAGGACAAAGGGCGCCCATGCACAAGCCTCCCACCATTGCACGGTCCGGGTTGGATCAGATGCTTACTCCTGTGAGACGTTTTGTCCTATTTCTACTTACGACCTCTATGTCACAGCGGAGCAGCCTTACCGGAGAGATTAAAGCATGCTTAAGGGTTCAACAAGAGTCGATATTTTGTAATCTTTAAGGACATACAATCCCTAGTATCTGGGGAAGATTTTCCTAAAACACTATTGCTCATGCAGCACATCACCGTTAGTATCCTAAAGAGCAATAACTCGCAATCTTTCCCATGATAGAAAATAGTGTTTAATCATTGAGTTTGATGCTAGAATAATTCAACAAATTGAGAATGCTGTAGATTCAGTAAATGTAATCAGCAGGTAAATGAATTGAAGAATATACAATAACAGAGTAAATAATACGAAGGATCTCCGAAATGCACCTTCTGATTCGACTAGTTCACTCGATTGAATTGAATTCTCAATTTGCAAAATCTCCCTCTCAATAGTCATAAATCTCTCAAGAACTTCTGGCGTGCTAACAAATTTCACAAACCTGTTGCATTCACACCAATAACATCACACCAATTACTCAATCTGTCAACAATGAAAACTATTTCGCGCTTCATCCGCAAGACATAACGTCCTAAAGATCAGAACTTTACACGAGTACATCAAATCTAAAAGCCACCTGAACTCTCCAACTTCAATGTTACCACTTTGGTCATCTCAATTACAAATATAAGTGTTTATTTTATAATTAAACCAATTCTTCATTCGAATTTATCACAAACCCAGATCCAAACTTGGTGATCAAATTTAGAAAATTATCGCTCAATTGTGCTAGATAATTAGAAAAACACATACATTTTTACAAAATTACCTCTGCAAAGTGGCTTTGGTGAACCAGGAGGCACCGGAGTCCGAAGGACGAAGAATGATGGAGTACCCTCCTTTGGAAATTTGATCCTTGGCGCATTTCAAGTGACCAAGAAATGGTTCTAGAAGCCCTGAAGCCAATTTCTCGTTTGCACCAGCAGCAGCAGCAAATATCACCAGTTCACATCTTTTAACACACAAACAACTAACCTTTAGCAGAAACCCAGAGAATGTAAACTGTTTCATTGCATGAAACAACATCAAACTACACGAAAGATTGGGTCTTTTATGTACCTTGTCCTGGTTGGAGTGAGTTGAAAGAGAACATGGTCAAGGCGAGTTCTGGAGTCCATTGTGTTAGAGAGAGAGGGAGAGAGGCAATTAAAATGTGAGCTTGGTGGACATGGGAATGGATACGTTTTGTTTGATTGGGGTATGCAAATGAAACTTAGAGAGAGAGAGAGTGCCAGCAGACGGTGATGAAGCTGAGCACATGGGGCAATATTTTTTCAGAGGGTTGGAGAGGAGAAAGAAGCACTTTTAGACTATACGTGAAAGTGGATCCCACGTGACTATACCGACGGGAACGTATCTATCTTACGTCTCTCTCTCTCACTCACACACCCCACATTGTTTTCACGAGAGAGAGAGAGAGAGAGAGAGATGAATCTAAGGTGTTCGATCTTTCTTAAACCCACTCCACTCCCCCACAATCCACATCATGGTAGCGTTAGATTGTCAGAATTGCTTTCTCTCTTCTGCAAGCTTGTTTTCGAAGAGATCCGTATTTAAGAAAACAAAGAGAAAGAAGGGTCCTCTCTCTCTCTCTCTCTCTCTCTGTGTACCCTTCTTAGGGTCAACACTCTCATGCTGGATACGTGATAATATATATGTGAGAAAAGTGTGAGGAAAATGCTATAGTTGGTTTTGCTTTACTGCTAATATTACAGATCTTGAAACGAAATAGAGTGAGGGAGTGGACAAGGAATCATCACACTGTCAAGCACCAACCGCAAAAAAGCTACTTCCTCTCCTCAAGGACCAGTGCCTATTGGATAATGTTAGCTAATCTTCTTCTCTCCCCTTCCTTACCTTCCCTTTTACTTGAACGATTACGAATAAATTATGTCAATATTTTATATTGATTTTTTTTTATAGAGACAATAAGGTAAAAACAAAATGTGAGAGGAGGGGAGGGAAGGAGATGAGAATAGGAGGAGAGAAAATTCTACTCCAAAATAAAAAAGAAAACTTTAACGAAAAACTCCTGGTACTGCTCATTTTAACGAAAAACCACAAATTTACACTAAAAAGTCAATCATGGTACTATTCACTTTACCCTTTATTTTGTTCTTATCGTTAAAACTCAGGGTTTTCAAAATATTTTCATTAGTTTTCCTAAATAAAAATGCTTCCCTATGAAATGGAAGGAAAAAAAAAAAAAAAAAAAAGCGAGCAGAATCAAGTTATGAAGGAATTTCACATTTTCTAAATAATTTCACTCCTCATGAATCAGTTATGACATTCGGGATTGGCTCTCATTCATCTCATTTTCGTTGTAGCAAAGTTAGACGAGAGATTGGATTTACCATAAAACACATAAAGACATTGGCTTAACAAAAAATATTATTTGAACCTTGTGTATGCATGAAAGGTTTCAAGGGTTCTTTGTTTTCTTCTTATGATGTGAACATTGCAACGCCAAATGAAAGATCGAAATATTTGGCTTTTCCAAGTGTCATTCCAATTATTATTTAATGCTTTTGCCTAATAAGCCATCAACCTTCTTTCATTTCGATATTTTATATTGTACAAAGTATACTAAATTATTTTCATAAATCATATATGCAAATAATAGTTTTATAAAAGATGATGGAATAACGGGATTTCAATTATGGTTTTACATGCTAACAAAGAGAGCACCCAACAATTTATTAGTCACAACGATCACTACTCACCTTTCTGTTATGCATTTTTTAATTATTTTGTTTAGCTTCTTCCAAATAATAGTTTTATAAAAGATGATGGAATAACGGGATTTCAATTATGGTTTTACATGCTAACAAAGAGAGCACCCAACAATTTATTAGTCACAACGATCACTACTCACCTTTCTGTTATGCATTTTTTAATTATTTTGTTTAGCTTCTTCCAAAACTTAAGCCACACTTGATGATTTTCAAAAATAATTATGAGTACCCACCAAGTTGTATATGGCATCCCAATTCCCAAGAGTAACTGGATGTAAAGAAGAGTAATGTTATTCTTACCATGTTTTTGCACCATATTTTCATATCATCTTAGATGACATTTGATGTGTATAGCCACATCATTTGAATTAATCAGATTTTTAAATTTAGTTCATTATTTAATAAACTAATAATTAAGAAAATTAGTTAATTAAATGATGATTGTGATATACAAGGAGTATTTCTCCTTCATTTTCTTGGGTTTTGCAAATTTTTCAAATGATGTGGCTGTTCACATCAGATGACACCTAAGGTGGTATAGAAATGTGGTATAAAAATATGGTATGAATACCATTACTCTGTAAAGGAACTCAATAATGCTATTCATACCATGTTTTTATACCACATTTCTATACCACCTTAGGTGGCATCTGATGTGGACAGTCATATCATTTGAAAAATTTGCAAAACCTAAGGAAAAGAAGGAGAAAGATTTCTCTTATATCACAATCATCATTTAATTAACTAGCTTTTCTTAATTATTAGTTTATTAAATAACGAACTAAATTTAAAAATCTGTTTGATTCAAATGATGTAGCTGTCCACATCAAATGCCATGTAAGGTGGTATGAAAATGTGGTACAAAAACATGGTATGATTAGCATTACTTATTTCGAATTCCAAAGTTTTATTTTGGTTTTGTTTTTCTTTGTGCATTTAATTGTTTGGCAAGTGTTGAATTGTCTTTGGGCATTTAGAGTACGTTGTGAATGAATATCAAATTGATGAAAAAATAGTCCTTGCATGGCATATAAGGAGTGTGTTACTCTTTATATTAGTTTTATTGTAAAACTTCAGCCATGAAAAGTAAGCAAAAGTAATCCTTAGCTAAAAACAATTTCTATTTGGCTTTTTTTATTAACATCCTAATGTATCCCACATTAAAATTTAATATTAAGTGGCTTATGTAACCTATTATGCAATGACAATTTCCATCCTATGAGGTTTAAAGAAAATAAGAAATTTCTAAATACACCCCAAATTACTTTTAACTTATTATTTATCTTCTTCAACTATCAAAACCCCTCTCACCCTCCACTCCATTGTTAAATAAAATTTTACTATTGAAACTATAAACACGTTGATTGAGAAAAAAATTTAACGAATGGAACACGATACCAATATTTCGGAATCTTCACATGAGGTAAAATTTCATATTTGTCATTGTTTTAATTATTCAACGACATCGGTAATTATTTAAGCATACTTTGCTTTCCATACCACCCAATTTTATAGGAGGCCAACCCATCAACGCCTTTTCCGTTCTTATTCATCTTCTTGGGTTTACTTTTGATCTGTTAGGTTCCTCCCAATTGCCATTTTTTAGCAGAAATCCTTTTGTTAGCAAAAGGCTTAAAGAGACAGAGAAAAGGAGATTGGCTATGATGACCCAATGAAATTCAAGCTTAACAGACCAGATTGTAGACTTATCATTTTAGAGAATGTTATGGTTTTAATCCGAAGTCAATTTAATTTATAAAAATTGAAAATGAGTATTATAAGATTTGAAGAATTAATGTGAGGTGTATGTGGAAAATATTAGGTGCATGAGAATGTGGAGTGTAAGGGTATTATGAGAAAGTATGTGGGGTGTATTAAGATAATTTTTAATTGAAAAAGTAAATATGGGATTATTAAATATGTGGGGTTTAATTAACAATATATGAGGTGTTAATAGAATAAATCTTTCTATTTCTAGCACTGGTTTATAAAATGTTAGGGAATAAAGCAAATACAATATTATGTCATATTTTTAGACATAACGTCCTATTGTGAAACAACAATCTACCTTACATTAGCTGGATGCATTAAGACATTTTATCTATGATGGTGATGACCAAACACCTATTTGAAAACAGTAACATTTCTGGGTCCATTTGCTTTCTCTTTATTTTGTATTTTTATGATTAAGCATTGATATGAAATCTTAACCACCACCACCACCAGCAGAGGACAAGCAAAACTTTCATTTCCTACTGCCTTCTTATCCATATGTTTCTTCTGAGTGTCGCAAAACTTTGGATACCTTGTGCTCCATCTGCCTTGAATTTGTGATTAAAAACTAGGAGCAAAGTCATCTCAAATAATGTAAAAGTGGAACTATTTTGAAGGTTAACTGATGAGTCAATATTATATTATATATTCCACTCTAATCTTAGTTTATTTTGGTTATTATTTTGGAAGAATGTTGATACTTTGACTTGGATTTTCAATATAGGACTTTCGACTTCTTCTAGAGCAAAACGTAATCAAATGGATGAATTTTGGAGTAATTTTAGTTGGAGGATATTTGTGAGTTACTTAGCATAATTGTGTCAAAATATTAGATTTTTCCACCAAACAGTTATTTTCTGGTGATAGAATAAAGGAGCAACGCGCTGTGTTGGAAAAGTGACGTTTTGGACTTAATTGCGAGTTTTGGAGCTCAAGATACCTATTTTGGATTCAGCCCCTTCTGGAGATGTGTTCAGATGTTCCGATCTTTAAAACAAGCTGTCATGGGCCGGATTTGGAGGAGATTTGAGGCGAAAACGTGATTGGACAGTTCCTTTGCTTAATTAGGACTTTATCTTTTAGTATATTTTATTATTATTTGGTTTCCTAGTTGGAGCCAAAGACTTTTATTAGGATTATCGTAGAGTTTAGGACAGCGATATAAGTCTTTGGCCGGCTCTAGTTTTTCTACTTCTTCTTTGATGCGACTTTGGAGATAGGAAATTGGCTAGGGTTCTTGAAGAATTTCAGACTTTTACTGTGTTTTCAATCCTTTTCTTCATAATAATATTTTCTATGATTTTAATTATGAATATGCGTAACTAATCCGTTTTGCTAGGATGAAGCCTTGAGCCTTAGCATAAATATGTAATTTTTATTTAATTGCTTATGATTGATTGCATGTATGCTTTGAATTATTGATCACTGTTTTAAACCATCTAACTGTCTTAATCCTTAATCACCATTAGGATCTTTAAAAAAGTAATTCGATGCAATTCAGTTGGAATATTACAGGAGAATTGGGTTTTGCTTCTTGTGGTTAATAATTGTAATTTCATTTAAGATGAATATCACGTCTTAGGGGTTGCATGGTTTTTCGGAGGGTTTTCACAGAACTTAATGAGTCTTGCATGTTTATATTTGATCTGAATATCACAGACGGATTGCATGTTAGATATACGTTCTTGCTTGAATATCACGAGGAGAATATGTATTAGGAAAACCTAACCTTCAAAGTTGCATATGTAGATCATAAGTAATTGGTAAAAAATACATAGGATTGTTATGGTGATGGTGGAACCCTAGTGCTTTTATAAATTGGTATTTAAAAACTCTTTTCTTTTATCGTATTAATCTTGGGCGAATTTACTATTTGTTTTTAATTAAAATTCGTTTTTAATATTACCCAAATTAAATTTTTTTTTTTCAATTTTTAGTTTTAAGTAGTTAATTAGGAATTGGTTTTACATAAATTATTTAAATAGCCATTGTGGAGAATGACCTTGCATGAACATCTATATTACAGCATCTTTGTACTCTTACAAGTATTTTGTGTGATTTTAACCTTTTTTTATGTAAGTGCTAAAAATCCTATCATTGACC